GGAAAGACAGGAAGTTTGTAATTACAGGCCAATATCAGTTTTGCCAGTTTTCTCCAAAATACTAGAAAAATTGGTGTATAACAGGTTGATAGCCTTTGTAACAAAATATACAAAATGGATTGCAAAATGGATTTAGGAATAACAAATCAACAGAAGACCTTCATTGAGAGTATACAGGAGGCGATGGATAGACGGTTACATGTTATAGGAATATTTTTTGACTTGACAAAGGCATATGATGCGATAGACCACAATGTATTACCAGATAAATTAAATTACTATGGGATCAGAGGGGCTACTAATTTATGGTTTAAATCTTATTTATCTCACCGAGTACAATTTGTTGAAATAAATCACCCAAATAAAAATATCATCCAAAATACATATATATCACCCTTGAGAGAAACAATACATGGAATACCACAAGGGTCAATTCTGGGACCACTACTGTTTCTTCCGTATATAAATGATCTCCCACTAAATGTACAAGGTGCAGAAATGGTATCGTTTGCAGGCGATATTAATGTACTGGTTACTGATAAAGATGTAGCTCAACAGAAAATAAATAAGATCATGAAACAGCTTGAAACATGGTTTCAGGTAAATAACCTTTTAATAAATATTAAGAAAACAGCTGCTATGTCATTCCACCTTAGTAAAAATAGGTTTGTAGTTAGACTGCAGAAACTCTATAATAACTTGGAAATTTCTCACTCATCGGAACTGAGATTTTTAGGTATAGATATTATAGAAAACCTTAAATGGCATACCCACATCCAGTCATTATGTTCAAAACTTAGTAAAACATCCTATATAATTAAATCACTAAGAGGAGTTTTGAGTCCAAATATGTTAAGAAGAATTTGTTTTGGAAAGTTTCAGTCGTTATTGAGATATGAAATAATATTTTTGGGGGGTGAAGGTGATAGTATAAAGGTATTTAAAATGCAGAAAAGGGTGTTGCAAATAATTAGTGGATTTGGTAAACAAGAAATATGCAGGCAAATTTTTAATGATTTTGGCATCCTCACGGTCACATCTTTGTATATCTTAGAGGTGTTATGTTACATAAAAAACACAAAGCAGATTTGATCCAAAATATACATATTCATAGTTATAATACAAGAATAAACAAGGATTTTCATGTTCAATTCTGCAGAACTACATTATTTTAAAAAAAGTGCAGTAAATATGAGGATAGAATTGTATAGTAAGGTGCCAAACAAAAGAAAAACTCGGTAGGTTTTTCAGCTTTTAAAGAAGATTTAAAATCATTTTTATTGGAACATTCTTTTTATATGATAAACGAATTTGTTAGTTTTCATAAAAAAAGTGTATGGTGCAAGTACAAATGTTACTATGTAGCAAAACGGATAAAATCAAATACAATACAATACAAACATAGTGTGGCAAAATTGATGTAAGAAATATATTTGTCAGCAGCTAGAATAAACCAGGACCACATCTGGGTGAAAAGTAAGTGTATAATGTTATTGCTAATAACAATGAAGGAATTAACACCAGAAAACTTGTAAGATTTGAGGCTTTCACGGCAGTGACTATGAAGAAAGCAGTCTTCTGGGATTTGGCACCATGTATATGTGGTGTTAACCGACGTTTCAGAGGAACGTATCGCCTCCATCTTCAGGGTAAAAGAAAAAATATAAGAAATCTGCAAGCAAAGAGACCGTGAGAACGGTTAAATGCAGTCTGCTTTCACCGGTTCTCACGGTCTCTTCGCTTGCAGATTTCTTATATTTTTTCTTCTACCCTGAAGATGGAGGGGATACGTTCCTCCGAAACGTCGGCTAACACCACATATACACGGTGCCAAATCCCAGAAGACTACTTTCTTCACCAGAAAATTTATTTGTGTTTCTATGGGAACCTATCATTTTTATTGTTAGAACCATAAAAAATAATATTGAAATGGTGAAAGCAATTTGTTCTTCCAAAAGTTTGTACCCACCTACCAGACTACTTGGTGTAATGTACCAGAAGACCAAAATATGAATTTTTACCCTATGAAAACTAGAAATCTCATAAGATGAAGTTTGGTCGGTAAGTTTTATAACATACCCCCAGTAGCAAACTTAACGGAAACCCATTCATTATTTCTAGGGATATCACATGCAAACAGATTTCATGCACTTTCTGAACAAAGTGCATAACAAGATTGTTGATTGTATTTTATAATTGAATTTTAAATCTTGCTTTTGCACAGTTGTAGCATTAAAGTACAAGCTGTGTTCGACACACTGTAAGCAAGCCCAGTAACCACTGATATTTCATCATGCATATACCACCTGTAGAGGTTGCTGTACAATCTCCTTGCAGACTAATCACTTTGAATTACTGTAGTGTTGTGCCTAGTTGTCTCCTTTTCGCATTTTTCACAGTAGTCCCCATCTTTGGCAAGTATAACTTTCCTGATTGAGTATCCCTGAAGGTGTTGGAAAACCACTAGTGAGCATATTAATTATTAAAATTATTTAGTGTAAATAATTTAAATATGTCCTTGTGATAAATATTTAATCTAATTTCTGCTACAGTAAAACTCTTATCATTACCATTAAGAGTGCTGTCTAGAATAAATCTGTTAAATCTTTAAGAAGTCTATGACAGAATATTTATATAAAATAAGAAAAATTATGGTTTTATGTGCTTCTTTGTTCTGCTGATTAAGAGATTCCATGATTATTAGAACATTCACTCAATTATTTGTAATTCTCTGTACTAAAAATACTTAAATGATGGTCTTCTGAGTTAGTTGACATATAATGCACAGTGTTATTTTGTGTGTCCTATCCACTTATGTGTTGCACTGGCTGCTCCACTCTGCTTGCAGTAATTTGATTGTTATGCTTCTGCTCTAGTGTTTGTACTGTTTGGCTTTGTGAATCTGGATTCAACAGGGCTGAAAAGTCACTGTGGCATCTAAGGCATTCACTGTGGTACCTAGTACGTTCTACAGAATTGTTCTTAACTTTTGTTCACAATCTTATGTGAAAATTTTAAAAATTTTCAATATGTAGTTCCAGTTTCATCAATAAGATTACACCATCAACCAGTGACGATTTTTGAAGCCTGTGTGGGAACATCCCAGTTCCCACACCTGTCTTGAAATCATGTCAACAGTCAGATGAAAACTGCTGAACATTGTGATTGACTAAGTCAGTGATCTGACATAAGCCACAGCCAAATCACAATTATATATCATTACAGAATTGTACACTAGGAAATACAATTACCAAAATGGAGTCCTTTGTCATAATCATTATCTAGCTATCATGATTTATATAAAAAAGTCAATCCCAGCTCAGAGGGCCTCTAGGCTGTTCAGGAAATGTTTATAAAGTTATCTATGTGGTCCATGAAGTACATCTATAATAAGACAGTCACCTTATAAGCATTTCAAGACTGAGAATACAAAAAATCATTATCAGAATGATCCAAGTGTATACACCTGCAAACAGTTGTGGGAACATCCCACATTATCACGCATTTCTGCAACGCTCGCTCTTCACATCACTTTTCACCATCACGCGCGCTAACCAATCAGATTGCTTCAAACGATCGCATTTATACTACGCTCGGCGATAGCCCGCGTCTACACCATTACGCGCGCTAGCCAATCAATTCTTGCTCCTCACTTTCGAGTTTGGCTCCGCCCCACCGACCAGCGTATAAAAAGGAGCGACCCCAGAGTCGAGTTATNGTAGCCACTGCCTCATGGCTCCTACAACCGCGCTCGACTAGCCTTTCACCACCGGCAGCAACCTCCGCCATTTGCCGCGCCGCGATCAAGCAACCTCCAGCCACGGCCTAGCCTTTCCACTAGCCTTTCACCGCAGCAAGCCTTTCTCCTTACCGGCGCGCGCCGCGCTACCTCACCGGTCAATCATCTCAGCAACCACGGTCCTTTTCAGGGCCAACAAATTGTTCCGAAGAAGTGGGTTGTCATAGGAGTAATGACAAAGACTACACAACATAAGAAAACCCCACACAGTAAACTACCAGAAGCAATAGCTCAAAAGGATTGAAGGTTTAGTTTATTCACATGTTCATAAAGCTCTCCTTTTTGTTTATCACTGAAGCTTTTACAAGACAGTTTCTCTGTTTATGTAATAAACACATGAAAATAAATACATTTTCCTTGCTCCCTTTATGGTGAAGAACCCCATTAACAACATTTTAGCAGTGACTGGGAATCTAACTTTTCTAAAGGAATTACAATTTTGTGAGTTCAGTGCTGATTTGTAATGGACAGATTGAACTGTCATTTATGTGGAGTATATACATAGCACATAATAAACACAAAATTATTTTAAATAGAATTTGTAATTGGAATGAACATTCCATTGCAATTTAAGTATATAAAATTTAAAGTATGTAGATTATGTTATTATCTAACAAAATATGAGGTAAAAAGAAGAGTTAAATAGGGTAAAACTATTCCTGTAACAGGCCATGGAGGCCCATAGGACTGTGTGATGTTGAGGCTATCACATTTTGTAGACAATCGGCTTACAGATGAGTTCTTTCAACCTTATGTGCTAGCTGCCCTTTACCCCCAGGAAGATTCCCAGTACTAATTTCTGTTAGAGCCTGAGTCAACTCCAGGGCCATGGTGCAGCTGGAAGGATTAGGTCAACTGAAAAATCCAATGACATCATCAGGAATCAAAACCACAACCTTCTGGCTTGTGGAACAGTGTGTCATCCATATATGCTATTGCATGACCCAACAAAATATAAAATGTATAAAAATCTGAAAAGTCCCCAATTCTGACCAAAACCAATTGAATTCAGAGGACAAAGACTGTAGTGTAAAACTGTAAGTGATAATTATAGCCTACACCAGACAGTTACATGTGCAGTAGTAGAATATATGAATTATATATGACATAATATTACTTCAGTGTTACATAATTTGTAATTGAAAATATAAAGAAGGATCATATATCAGTTTATTCCATATTGATATATATTTCATTACAGATCATCAATTCTATCACAAATGGGCTCTCCTGACAGACCCTGATGATATTGCGGGAGGACCAAAGGGCTACCTGAAATGTGACATCAGTGTAATTGGGAAAGGTGACTCAGTCAAAGTTCCACCTAAAAGTGAGAAGGATGAGGATGATATTGAAGCGTAAGTATTCCTGAAAACTTGTTTCTGTATAGTTGTTTGGTGAAATCAGGCATAAATGTTTAAAACTAAGACATTACAAATATTTGTGTGCAGTCTTTCCTGGTAGAAGGTGTAATAAAATTTTAGTCCTGTCCATGCCATGCACTAATTACCACTATCTCTATCTGGCACTCTCAAATTTATGCAAGTTGCTGGATGAAATATCTCTAAGTTTTCTTGCCTCCCAAAATTTTCCTTTGTAATCATATGCCAGCTCTTTCTTCTGTTCTTGATGTCTTCCTGTACCTGAGTAAACTAACTTCTTCTGGGTCATCCCATTTGTCTCTGTTGTATATATCTGAATTCTGCTGCCTTGGCCAAATAATTGTAGTTCTTTCTCTTCGAACTGTATTCGCACATATTTAAACATGACTTCTCTAAAAAACAGTTTCTATTTCCAATTTTCCGACTTTACTTTTAAGAAAAAAAATTTCATACCCATTGTTTGAATTATTATTCTCTTTTTTTTTTAGGTGGTCATGTTTTGGCATTATATGGTTGTATAGGTATAAATATACTTGACAGATCGCTGTATGCTGTTTCATAATGAATTAAATGCAACATTTAAAATAATAGTTTTCTAGTCAAATTTTATTTCATTCAGAATATCAATAAAAGAAATTTCTCCCATAATCTGTCAACAGTAAAAGATTAAACACCAAAACTGTACTTGAATCCCCAAAGCAATGGATATAAAGAGTTATTCAAATTGGCTGGTGAGAGAGTGTCAGAATATAGTGAATTGAAGAGGTGTAAAACTTACTTGCAGTCTGTTCTGAATTGAGTTTAGAGTCGGCGTTTCTCAAGTTCTTTTTTGCAGCATACTAAAATATTTTTCAGTACATCACGACAGATCAAATTGTGTATAACTTGTACTGTAAATTGGTGTGGTATGTATATGCATATGCTTATATGAAGTATGTACACATTAAGAGTTTTGGGGATAGAGCACTGCAGAGACCAATGAAGGACAACTGATGTTTCTGTGGAACTTACTGCTCCTTCTTCAAGACCGAAGAGTAAGCCAAGCAAGCAACCAGCATGTGAGAGTCTCATATCCAATGTATAAAAATATTACTCTTCGTATTTTCTTCTGCTTTTTACTTATGTGATTTTTTGTAATAGGCATATAGTTCTTAGGAAAATGCAACATCAACATTTGAAGAATGAGTAATAAGTGACTCAGATGTAGGAAAATAATATTTGAAGATAAAGTAAACTAGCTATCTGGAGAGACATTGTTTGTGAAATAGAAAGAAATATGGTCAATACTGAGGCAGCAATATTTAACAATGAAACAACAGCATAAGCCAATGCTATGACAAAATGGGGCTGAACAAGATCACGCTGTTATTATTACAACTTATGGAATGTTGTTAAATATGTAGAAATATTGTCACATATTAGAGATTAGACATGGTGTTGGTTAGTAATTGGATTTATTGAACACTTAAAACTTATAACTACAAGTAATTATTAAAGTTTTCAATAATTCACGCACTCTACTCCTCACTACAGCATAGCAGGTAACAGCTGTGCAGTTCCTGATTGTGTCCTGTGACTGTCTCGTAATTAACAAATTCAATTGTTAGGTTTCAACTAACTCAGTGGCACCAATAACCATTACTGATTACTCACTGGATCTCACTGGCCATCCCTGACTCACATTGGCTGTCAACTAAGGTAAAGCTATTCCTGTAACAGGCCGTGTAGGCCCATTGGGTTGTGAGACATCGATGCTCCACATTTTCTCTAGACAATCATCTCACAGATGGCGGTAAGGTTGTCAGCCTTACATGCCAGCCGCCCNGTTGGAAGGAGTAGGTAAGTTGAAAAATTCAATCATCTCATAGGGAATCGAACCCGCCACCTTCTGGCTTGTAGCATACTGTGTGCAGGCTGTCCACTACTAATGCTGTAAATGCCAATGGCAACTTGCTATGCAGCTTCAGGTCATACCAATTCAAACACTTCCCTTATTGTTGTGTGTTAATTTGTTTTCATAGGAACTTGTTTACCCAGTCGTTACCAAGCAACAGACAACTTTTCTGGCATCATAATTTTGGCTTACATCCATTATGGCATAATATATTTGAATTCAAAATACTGTTTCACACTTAGACTTATGTTACAGCAGACTGGTTGAGAAACAGGGCTGTGAACTATTGTTATTTGTTTATTTAACCTTGTTTTCCAGTTGTCCTGAAATATTATACTATATTTCAGGAACCTGTTGTTACCAGATGGAGTGCCAGTGGAGCGGCAGCGAGCTCGTTTCATTGTAAGAGTGTATCGAGCTGATGGGTTGCCAAAAATGAACTCTTCCATTGTTGCAAATGTGAAGAAAGCCTTTACTGGTGAGGTGAAGGACCTGGTGAATCCATATGTGCAAGTCTCCTTTGCTGGTCTTACTGTAAGCACAACTTAAATCTTATTGCAAGCAGTCAGTAAAAGAAGTCATCCATTTCACAGCATTTTTCTACTTCCAAGGCTGAGAATGGAAAGATTATTATTTCCTTTTTGTTATTTGTTTTTACTGCAACAGAGTTATCTTTTATGCATTATTTTGTGCAGCATGTAAGAAGTAAATGTATATCCATTCATACTACTTGACAGATTTTGATTAAATCTGGTATTGATGACGTACATTAAAACTTGTCAGATAAATTTAATTTTGATTTGTATTGGTCTAGTGTAACTCTTTCTTACACATAAAGATCATTTCAAACTTAATTATGTTTTTTTCAAAAAGAAGTTTCCTTTCTTTACAGAAATTGGAATATAACACACAATATATCTTATTAAGACTAATAAGTTGTTTTGAAGTAGGATTTGCTATTGCAAAATTGAAAAGGTATAATTTGCCAGGTAGTGGTCAGATTCTAGATGAATGGATTCAAGAAGGAGGTGCAATATTACATTCTGGAATCCATAAGCTAATTAGTTCTGTTTGGAATAAGGAAGACTTGCCTGATCAATGGAAGGAGTCTATTGTGACATGTTTCGCAACGGAGGACCCCTACCTCGCCAGCGGCACGTGACGGTAACGTAGCGCTCTCGTAATAGGCGAGTAATCACCCCGCCACTCTCCCCGCGGTGACGTGCCAAGCGGAGCCGAAGTTAGCCGAGCGGAGCCGAAGTTAGCCGAGTCCCCGCAACCTGGTAGCTATGCAACACGAGTCAACAGCGGTGACGTCACCAAGGGATATCGCGGTTGCTAGGCTATACGTCACGTCACAGTAGTGACGTGGCGGGCGACCCTAGCAACAGCGAACGGAATAAAAGCCGGCTGAGCAGCAAGCGAGAGTCAGTGTGTTATCAACAGTTCTCAAGGTAGCAGCCTGCGAGGGTGCGATAACTAAGAAGTCAGCGAGCGGAAGACTTATCGTGTGCTTTCGAGACTTAGTGAGTGCTGTAGTACAGTTATACCTGGAGTGTGTAATTCAGGGAGATTTGTATAGCTCCCGCGTTATTAGTACGTGAAGACTTGGTTGTAGGGTTTGTAAAGTGTGGAAACCCGCAACTGTGTTATAATTAATTGTAGCCGATATTTGTAGATTGTTCAATAAACCAATTAACGATCTCTACGGCGTATTCAGTAACGAAACACGTCACACTGGTGTCAGAAGTGTTACGAACTTAAGCACGCCACAAACAGATTGTTGTGCATCAAGTACTTTACTGCTACAAAATGGAGATGCAGCGAATAATCGAAATGCTGGCGAAGGCAGATGCCGACCGAGTGCGGATGGAAAACAGAATGGACGCCAACATGAGATCCTACCAAGAGATGGAGGAAAGTAGGAAGAAAGACAGAGAATATTTCCTGGCCAAATTAGACGCCGATAGGAAAACTGACAAAGAGGAAATGCTGGCAAGAATGGACGACAACATGAAATCCTACCAAGAAGAGACGGAAGCCAAATGGAAAACCGGCCATAAGGAGTTGCTGGCCATTATCGAGGCCAACCGAGAGGAGAGGAGAGTCGGCCAAGAAAACTGCGAGAGAAAATCGAAACCGACAAAGAAGAAATGAAAGCAGAAATGCGAGCTATGCGGTCAGAGTTGAATGAGACAATCCAACATAGAATTGAAAACATTTTTTGCGATTTTTGAACACGACAAACAGACTCTCCAGTCAGAAATAACTGAGCAGATTGAAGTGTCCCTCTGCGCGCGGACAGATAAACTCCTGGAAAACCTGACGAAGAACTACAACGAAACCTGCGCAGCAATTGACGAAACCAAACGCGAGCTCCAGGCCCGGTTGGACATAGTGCAAATGAAGGCCGAGCGGGGAAATACACCCACGGTCGTCGCCAGCACAGCTCAGCCACCGACATTCAACGGTAATTCAACGTGGAGCGTATTCCGGCGACAATTCGAGACCGTGGCAGAACACAACCAATGGACGGATAAGGAAAGATCGACATACTTAATTACTGCCCTGAAGGGTCGGTCGGCGGAAATACTACCCGGCATTCCGACAAATACCACTTACGAGGAAACTCTTCAGGCTCTAGAGGACCGTTTCGGGGACCAACACTTTGCAGTTGCTTACCACTGCCAACTAAGAACGAGGACG